CCCCAAAACCCCAAAACCCCAAAACCCCAAAACCCCATGACTCATTATAAATTAATTTTCTAATAAGAATTAATTAAAAATATTCCAATTTTCCAAAATAGATTTCATTTTTAACTCAATTAGAACAGCAAAGTACTTTTCCACTGTAGAAATTATTTCCCACTAGCTCCTAGGGTAAAACTTTAGCCCCAGTCTTTACCAAACCAACATCATTAGCTCTTTGAGCTGAATAAGATGCCAATTCATTATATGTGCATATATGTTATTAATCATCTGACTCACAAAAATTTTCCCTATTTTAATATTATTAAAAGCTGAATGTATTACTATTGAAGTTAATTTAGAGTTGGTTCTTATGTATAATTACTTAGAAATACCTCATTTTTAGCAACATAATTATTAAATGAAGTTTCTAATATCAGTTTCTGTTTGGTCAGCTTAGTCTTGAAAGCTTTGATGTATTCAAAAGCAATAGAATCTGTGCTAATCTTTATAGCATCAAAATTAAATGAAGAGACTTCTTTTAGCAATTTAGAGTTTAAATGAACACTTAGCTTTTTGTTTTTACAAGATATAATCAATAACTATCTAGTGCTGAATTTCTAGTCTTAGATATTTACCATTGAATCGCTCTATGAAATCAATGTCATCTTATTTTTATGATCTAACTCAATGCTAACTCCTTTCTCATTATCCTTGTCTATAATCTCTATAAATTTCTTAGAGTTCTTTATGGTTTCGTAGTTGAGAACAATATAGAATTCATCTCCAATGTCCTCGTTATTAAACTTGACTTGAGTAAAATCCTCAAAGTGCAATTCATTTCCACTCAGATCAAATAGCCTATCCTTTGAATAAAAAGCAATCATATTATTGAAGAATGGTCTCCTTAATATTTATTACTAATCTATACTTAGAAGTTAAATCTGTAAGATGCTTACTTCCCATCGCACTTATCCCATTTTCTAAATAGACATCACATTCGCTCTCTTTTTGTTTAGCAAACGATGTATGAATAATCAAACTAAATATTACCAAAACCTTGCTAATATTCATTTTATTTCTAATTCTATATTTAAATTTCTATTACCCTAAATTTCATTCGGGGTTTTGGGGTTTTGGGG